ACACACACACACACACACACACACACACACACACACACACACACACACACACAAAACACAAGTCGCACACACAAACGCAGTGGTGGCTAATTGCCAGGTGGTAGAAGATAATGTGTGATTTAATGGACTGATGGATTTGTTTTTGTTTCCGTCACCCGCCAGCGAACATCAACATCTGTAACAGCCAAACAACCAACTCACACACATATGCCGCTGCACCCAACCCATCACGCAATGAATGCGCCCAGGGACAATGGTGGCAAGTGACTGATAGGCTTTGTGCAAAAGCAGGAAATGAAGCATATTGCCGGACGTGAACGCGAGTAGTATCTATTTATGAAGCTGCTAATCCTCAGTAACAGTCTGTTTCACGAGGTTGATGAGAAAGCTCAGGGGGGGTCAGAATGCGGATGAGGAGCCTGCAGCTTTTACAGTGTGTTTGCTGCACCAACTGACAGCTACACCGAGGCTTATTATTGGCCTTGGAAACCTCCACTCCGAACTGCCAAGTGAGACAAACTCTGGAGAGTCGACAATGCCGGCGGCGAGAAACACGTACGCCAACAACAACCTTTACAACAAGTGGATGTTGCGGAGTCCAGCGCACGTATATGGCAAACACTGCAAATGGGATTCTGCTGTTGAGAAGGGGAGTTGAAGTAGTATTATGAAAGAGTCGATTAGACAGGTTACACTGCACTTTCACGGCCACCCTCAACGCGTTCTGTACATTATGAAATAAATTTCAAGATACGAAAGGTAAAAATACAATATGGCCTGCTACTCTCAGCTCAGAGTTTCCTGAATGCAACATACTTATAGCTGCTCTGCCATTGGCTATTAGCTAGCATCTTCCTGGCATCCCATTGGCTAAGAGGGACCCCTACCGTTTGTGTCTATGTGTGTAGATAGATTGATATGAGTCTATGCAGCGTCCTCGTCATTTGCCCCTCGGCCCATGAGGCGTTCCAATAGGTTTCCGTAAATGTGAATCACCCAGAAAAAGTGTTCACCAGTCCGGCGATCGCTCACTATGCTGATGCTTGCCTTGGACATTTTCGAAGGATTGTTAAAAGCCGACAATAGCAAACGTCCTTGCATCAGTTCTTTACAAAACGAGAGGCAAAAACCACTTCTGAGTGAGAACATGGACTAAAGAGGGCAAAAAAATGATGAGGAGGCAGTTAGAAGTTAAATGACCATCATTTTTATTCTTTTCTGTATTCTTTTGTTTTTTTTACATTATGCACAACTCATTTATTGTGCAACAATCTAATTGTAAAATGTATTTGTTACATATTTTGATGCATTTTTATGCTTTAGAAAACATTTATGTCTGAATTTTGGGAAGGCTTGGAACGGATTAGGGCATTTACGTGGTAAATGCGTCTCTACTTACAACATTTTCTACTTAAGAAATTTGTTTCAGAACCAATTAATTTCATAAGTAGAGGTACCACTGTATGAATGGATGGATGGTATAGTACATTATGTATCTTCAATAAAAGACCATTCGATATGTATCTCACGTAATAAAAAAAAAATATTGTACTTCATGGCCACCCTCAGCGGGTGCTGTACACTGACAATTGCGCGTGTGCGCAGCAAAGGCAAGAGACGAAAAAAAGACGTGAAGATCAGGGATGAGGCAGGTCCCCCAAGATGCAGTATTCTTTAATTAAGCGCAGTCCTTTTTTCTGAAAGACACACGCTGAAGGAGGCTACACCGCTGGGAGGAAGATTGGCAGAGAGCGCAAGAATCAAGAGGGTCAGGTTACAGATTAAGCTGCTCTCTGATAGCCTTTGTCTGAGAGCCAAGTGATACACCCAGTGAAGAAAGACACCTCATTACATCCAACTTTTAATAAGGTGTATTCAAGTCTTTTGCTATAAAACCTCTGTGTGTTTAACTATTCCTTCAAGAATAAAAGGAAAGTTAAAAGGTACTATTGAGGCCACTCTGCTTGGAGGATTCAATAAAATATGCAAAGACTTTCTCTGCCATGCCATGACGGTTGTTTCCATTCAAATTCAACCAATTAGCTGATAATGACTATTCATACAGTGGCCCAAAGAAGGTTATTTACTCAAGGGCAGAGAGTCGAAGGCATCTGTCTCATGAGAGGCAGGAATTTAAACAACATTATTAAATAGGGATGCACCAATAGTATCCGGTACAGAGCGGCGTGGTATCGGTACTCGTAATAATTCATTTGAGAATGCATATGTTTATAACTATGTTATAAACAGGGTGCAATTAAAAATGTTCCCGTGGTCCTCAAATAAGTATTGACTTATTATTTCTTATTCACAACAACATACCGGGGGTACACAATGACAGCTTATTAAAACAACACAGTTTTCTGTTTGATAAAGGGGGGGGGAGGGGTTTGCATCACGGACCAGGAAAAAATGTCATGTCATTTCCCCAACAATAGTCCAGGGAAATTAACCCAATTTCCATCATGAAAATAAGCACACACAACATTGTGGCTCAAACCAATGATGAAAGAGTCCAGGCTAATTGTTCCTCAAAATTTCATCCTTGCCTATTTAGGATCCTCCTAGTAGTTGTTTATAACTTTATGACTGCACGTCTCTGTACTTCATCTGAGAGAAGTGCTTACATGTTTCGGTTCGTTTGGTCAGCAACAGGATCCAAATGAGCTCAGTAGTTATGTCCATGTATGAATGATAGCAAACAGGAAGTGATGGATTTATGGATTTTTTTTTTTTGGGTGGAAGAGGGCGGGGGGTGTGGGGGATGAAAATAGGAAGCATCTATTTGGGGAGAGTTTGTATTTGTTTTATGCGGACAACACGCCGGGTTAATAATTGAGAAAGTCCATGTCCACCCCCCCAACCCCACGCCTAAATTTCCTGTTGTAAAACGACAAAGGCTGACTGATAAGACTGATGACTAAATGTTTGATCCTTTTCCAGCTGAGTTTTCATATTGTTTACATCTTTAATAAGAGCAGTCATAAAAACTGACAGCGGCAGTTCATCTCTTTGTCTTAGGGGCCCAATAAAAGCGCCGAGGAGGTACAAACAAACTGAAATAGTCAAAGGCATATGAAGGATGGCGAAGATGCCTCACGGAGGCAGATGGAGGAATATTTGTATATCTCTTAAAACTAAATCTGATTTTTTTTTTCAACTATTCTGTCGCCATGCTGGGATTTTTTTGTGTGTGGTGTCAAACCTCACCTTTAGTTACGACAAGAGAATTTGTCTGGATTTTAGTGTTTTCCTCACAAGGCTGAAGTTGTGAGAAAAAAAAACATGAGATGTGCAGTTGAATCACTTAAATGGAGAAAAAGACGAGGGGGCGAGAGGATTAACGGGGCAACAAAAAGGACAACGGAGTGAGTGTAGACATAAACAGGAGGGTTGGAGATGAGGAGAGCGAGGGAGAGGAGAGATTGAACAGTGACACTGCGACAACACAATGGGGTCAGCCACAAGGAGCGCTCCTAATTGAACCAGGTAGCGGCGACGCCGAGAGAGACTAGTGCTCGTCTTTCTCTTCCTGCGTGGCCGAGCGTGGCGGATGCTGGAGGAAAAGAATATGAAAAAGACTAAAACTCTGTGTGTGCAAGTGAAATGGTCCAGAACAGGGACATTAATACCCTGTTAAAAAAAAAAAAAAAAAAAAAAAAGTCAGGCCAAAACTACAAATGAATGGTAGTAGAGAACAACGTTGTGTCTCGCTCGACATCTTCTGGATTTTTTTTCATGCATTCCAAGTGGATGAAAGCACATCACGGATTACATACATCTGAACCTGGCAGCACAGCGTAGAAGTGAGCATGACGTCTGCCTCACAGTTCTAAGGTTCAGGGTTCAATCTCCTGAGTGCAGTGTGCATGTTTTCAAGTGTCCATCGGTGTGAATGCTAGTAGTCGTTTTAAAATGTGCCCCGCCCCTCTCTCAAGGTCAGCTGGGATAGGCGCTCTGGAAAATGGACGCATGGATACAGCGGAACCTCTAAAGTCGAACAATGTGAAACAGGTGCCTTTGAAGTCGCACAAAACTCGACAGATCCAGCGTTGTGACATCATGCGAGACGTTACGTGCAGCAAGCAGCACAGGGTGAACTGTCGGGGTGTGTGGCGTCTTTTTCTTTGGGTTTTTGTCGCAACTCATTGAAAGGGGGGCAGCGTAAACAATCACAGGAGAAAATGTTTCTTAAAACAGACATTCTGGTTTGACAGTTGCATCTTAAATATTATCTGAAGTTAAAATTTTTGCAAGGCCGTAGGGGTGTGCCAACAATGAGTGTGCTTGCATGTGCTTCACAAATGATTGACACCTCATAAGTCACGCCTCTGTCTCTGATTGGTCATTTTATCTTGGGTGTGGTGGCACAAAATCGGGCCAGAGATGGCAGATTCCCCTCGCCCCCGCATATTTATCAAATACTACTGCAACTGTTTGAACAAATAGGACAACTTGCAAGTTTTGCAAAACTCGCAAACTCCCCCTTTCATGTCTTTTCCCACTTCACACGTTAGAATTTAACACAAGACTGTTATTCAAGATATTAAAATGTTCTTTTTTACACTTAAGGCAATAGTTCAAGTTGAAAATGTGTGCACAGTATGAGGTTGAACATTTCTACTTCTTTCTAAATTTGAACAAAATGAATGTCAAAGGACTGATTTTGGTCCTTAGAGGTTCTTCTGTATATTTTTGGGGCCTATTTCAGACATATTGCAATAAAATTCTTACGCACACACACGCACACACACACACACACACACACACACATAAAGCCTCTGCAGCGGACGCAGTGGATGAAGAACTATGAATCCAAAGTATCCCAGTGGGATATAATAAAGCAAAGCAAAAACAACGGGCAGAAAACCAGCACATTTCTTTTTTTATCTAATAGGATAACAATAAATCACCCTCTCTTCTAACACACAGACACACACAGACACACACACACACACACACACACACACACACAAATCAAAGAAGGCAAAAGGGCTTACTGGATGTTGGAGCTGTTCCAGTAAATGGAATGCCTGCTGACGGACCCCTGGAGCGGGCTGGCCCAGGTGAGAGTCGTGAGCACCCAGAGGGACAGCGGTACCAGAGCCATGCTCCCGGTTCCCCCTCCCCTCGGTGTCTCGGGCCACTCTCACTCTTTCTCTCCTTCGCTCGGTGCCTTCAGCCCACCAAAGAACGCGGCTCACACATCACAGCTAACGTCTGTCAAACAGAAAGCAGGGGCAAATTAGTATTATGACGCCCGAGCAGAGTGCTGGTAAATTAGTGTCGTAAACATTAAGAAATGTAAAAAAAAAAAAAAAGTCCATTATGATTCGAGGAGGCACGCGCGCACATAGGCAGACATCGACGCACTCGCAAAGCCATCATCTACTATAGTAGGAGTCTCGGTTCTAAAAAGCTCGACGCGGTCCTTTCTCTCACCGGGAACTGCTGCTGCTGAGTCCGCCAGAGGAGCGCAGGTGACCGGGGACGCTCAACGAGGGAGGTCGTTCTTCCTCCGCGCATGCGACGCTCCAGAAAACAAGGCGACGGAGTTGATGCGGAAATTAGGTGCTCTTGTCAAAAACCATTCAAAAAAAGCAAGTCCTGGTCAAAGTTGTTTTGAACGCGATGCCGCTTTTTGATTTGCCTTTTGTGCCATCAATCAAAAAGAGCGAAACAATTCATCCCAGGCTCAATCCGACAAGCATCGCTCCCTCCAGTGAGCCCGCCTGCCTCCAGCTCCTCTCCTCCGCGCGTCTCTCTCCTTTTTGGCAGCCGGCGCTCGTCCACTTGGCCGGCTCCGCCCACCGCGGCCGACGTCACAGACGCAGTCCTCCTCCGTGGTGGCGCAAGCACATCGGGAATCGCCTGGCTGCCACTTCCAAGTTCTTGTCATCCACTCCACCATCATCTGCCAGATGCGTCTGACTGCAGCCAGGGGACACATCTGGAGCCCATTTTTCACCGTGGGCACGCCCACTACTACTCTACACGCATGCATAGTACATGAACGCTACAAGCACTCACACGATTCATGGCTGGAAAACTCCTTGACTCACTCACCTACTTCTTTTTAAAATACAATGGTAACTTCACTTCCAAGTTTAATTGGTTCCACAGCACCACAGATGAATGAATTTCTTCCATTGCAATAACTTCAAATGTCATTCCATTCCAGCCCCCCCCAGACCCCCTACACGAAAAATAACATCAAAATGGATGTTTTTAATAAAAGAAAAATGTCACCGTGTTATCTAAAAATTAAAAAGCCAATACGAAAAAAAATAACTTGATTTTAGAAAGTGTAATTACTGTGAATAGTTGTTACCTGACCAACTGTGATGTCGTTTTTTTCAGTCGACAGCAAGTGGCAAAATGGCCGCACCCTGAGATGGAAAAAAAAAAGGGGTGGATTTCATTTTGCTGCTGAAATCATATTCCACAAACACTGTCTTAATCAGAAGGCTGTGTTTATAGACTAGTGGGGTTGCACATCAACATTGTTGACTTCCCCTTTAAAACAATCACAGCTGAAACAAAGTGCTGTACAGAAATAAACATAACACACAAGGCAACTGATAACGGCATAATTGAAAAACATGAAAACAGCAACAACATTTAAAACAAAAACAAATAAGACACAAATCATGGGCAGAATCTCATGAGTGCCTCATGCTGTGGTGAAGCCTTATGTAATAAAAAGAAATGGGGTTTAAGGCGTTTTTTAAAAAAATGGTGGTGCAGTAAAGCAGATTTTCCAATCTGCACCAGGAGATTGTTCCATAGTTTGTTAGCAGCAGCAGAAAAAAAAAACTCTCTACCCTGTGAGCTTTTGCTTGGATTTTGGTTCATTCGGGAACATCTGAGCAACTGACCTGAGGCACAGGATAGGACTGTAGAGATGGAGAAAGTGAGGCAGGATGAGACCATTTCTAGGTTTGAAAAACAATCAGGGGTGGTCGAGTGGTTAGCGAGTCGGCCTCACAGTGCACAGGTGCAGGGTTGGATTCCGGCTGCGGCCTTCCTGTGTGGAGTTTGCATGTGCTCCCCGTGCCTGCGTGGGTTTTCTTCGGGTACTCTGGTTTCCTCGCACATTCCAAAAACATGCATGGCAGGCTGATTGAACACTCAAAATTGTCCTTGGGTGTGAGTGTGAGAACGAATGGTTGTATGTCTATGTGTGCCGTGCGGTTGGCTGGCAACCAGTTCAGGGTGTCCCCCACCTACTACCCGGAGACAGCTGGGATGGGCTCCAGTACGCCCGCGGCCATAGTCAGGATAAGCGGATTCCTTTTTCCTTGTTGATGATGAAACACTTGAGTCTACTAAGCTTTAACGTTGTTCATTATGTTGATACTTGGTGGAGCCAAGAATTTTTTTTTTTTTTGAGGCGGTATTTGGTGTTCAAAAAAAAAGTTTGAGAACCGCTTATCTAGGCTAATCTCTTCAAGGCTCATCATTGTTTATAAACTCGCTTTTGTGTAATCCAAACTACGCCTTTATCAAGCACCCCTATCTCCTTGTGGGTCGCCGAGGGGTTAGTATGAAGCTTCACCAAATAGGTTCCCAAAATGATACATGCCGCCATCTCTAAACGTCTGTCCCGCAAGGTGAGCTTGAACCAACCCGAGGCACTCCTTCATTTACTGTTCCTGTCCAGAGCATTTCCCACAGGTGTTCGGGTGTCGTGACAGCGAAGGCGACGACATGATTCAGATCATTTCCACTCCCTGACCCCCGCTGCCCTCCATTGTCAATTCTCCACTCATTCATTACAGTCTTCACTTTGTCACACCGGCTGTATATCCCCCGGTTAGACATTAATGTACTGCGTCCCGCCCGCCGAGACGCTTCAGTAATTAGCCTCCCCACCTCTTCCTGCACAATGGATATCTATGTGGGGGGGAGAGGGCAGACGTGGATGAAGGCAGGAGCGGGCAAAAAAAAAAAGTTAGGTTTTTGTGTCGCCTGCTGGGATAAAGGAAAGGCAGAATGATTTATTGGGTGAAAAAAGAAAGGAACAAAAGGAGAACGGATGAGACGCCATCGGGGAATCTCACTGTCGTCGTCCGCTTCGCCTGTAACGCAAACTTTCTTCACTCGGTCATTCCTGCTAGCGCTGCTCTTTTGCCTTCGCCTGCTTTGTCTCCGGTGGTCCGCCTGTCCTACCTCACGCCTCTTCTTCTCTCCTTGTTTTTTTAATGAGGACTTCTCTCCTCCGCTCATTCCGTCATCGCATGTCTACAAGGAGCCTGATCGACCAACCACCAAGAGGCTTAATATTTCATCACCAGGCGCTGGTGGCAGCAGAGTCGTGGCACTAGCTTGAATCTTCTCCGGGAATTATGTTGCCCGTAGCCCAACATGAAGAGAATGATAAATAAAAAAGCCAAAGGGTGAGTTTTGGGAGAAATGAACCGCTGGTTCATTTCTAGACAAGAAAATCGTTGGCAATGTCCCCTGGCTGTGTTTTCATATTCAAGCAAACAAATGTTGGCTTTAGTCATCATCAAGCTCTTCACCAGAAAGTTGATACAATACAGTTGGGCCTCGTTTGAAAGGTTGAAGAATTTGTACTTTCCTCAAAATTTTCCGTCGAATGTACCTTAAAGGGGAACTCGAGTCAAAAAGCCAAGTCAAAAGTCTCTTTACAATCTTACCGTATGCTCTGAGTCGAAACATTTGAGATGATTCTGATGTGATTTTATCAGCGCTCAGCTTGTGAACGTCACATGACCAAACTAAAAAAAAAACAGGTGAGCCGCGATTGTTTGTTACCTGCGGCCTGAGCAAATGGGATGCCATTTTCAAGTGGCAAAATGGCCAGATAAAATGATTTTTTTTTTTTTTTTGCTCGATTCATATTCTACAAACACAAATTTGACAAGTGAGAGCAGAGCGCATAGAGCATATTATGAAAGGAAATTTTAAGTTGACTTCCCCTTTGAAGCCACACAGACACTCAGTATTTGAATGACCCCCGATCACATATTGAGCAACATTTAATCCGGTGTTATGCAAGCGCAGGTCTCCTTCCCCATAGCAATATGTCTGACGCAGTACGAAAACTGACCTGTGAGAGGCTACATGATTCCGCAGGGCATCCAGATTGCTTGAAAATGCAAAGACGAAAGTTAGGCTATCTAACCGTTAGATTATCTGCTAAGTCGATTGTTTTAGCAAACGCTTCGATTTGTCGTTTTTACTCTGGCGAATGACTCGAGATTGACTGAATCGCTTAACACAACCAGGTTGCTCTGGAAACGGCCCGAGCTTCCTGAACAGCTTTCGTTCCGTTTCACTTGCCAATCACAGACCCTGGCCGCTGACCACACACGTAATGATTGCCATTGTGAATATTGAGCAGACTTACAATTCACAGATTGGAAGCGGGGAAGAAAAATCTCTCAACACACTCCACATCGCCGGATAATTGCACAAGATAACCAGTTGGGGATGGCTGTGAATCAAGCCTCTGTTGACTTTGATTGCAATGGAGAGGCAATGCTCAAATTTGGCCTAATTGTCGGGATGTGTGCGTTGCCCCCTGCTTAATGCAAATATTCAGTTGGAACACTCCTCTTAGCCCTCTGAATGATAATCAAATTGAACAGTGCAGGGCGAGATATTCCCGCCCCTTCTTACAAGTATTTCCAAGAGGCTGCACAGTCTTGAAAACTTAATTGGGGCGTTTCCTCTGCTTCTATTTGCTAGTCCAAAGCCCAGTTGATGACAACCAAAGGATGAACATCCATCCATCCATTTTCTATTCTGCTTATCCTCAAAAGGATTGGGGGCATCCGGGAGCCTATCCCAGCCATCTCCGGGCAGTAGGCGGGGGAAACCCTGAACTGGTGGGAGGAAACCGGAGTAACCGAAGAAAACCCGTGCAGGCACGGGGAGAACATGCAAACTCCACACAGAAAGGCCGGAACTGGAATCAAACCCTGCACCTCTGCACTGTGGGGAGGATGTGCTAACCAGTCAACGACCGTGCCGCCCAAAGATGAACATTTTATTTTCAAATTTTTCTGGTGGTGGATATTCCACCATAGTTTTAGCAAAGCTCCTCAAGCCCAAGGCAACAGTGCATGGCCGCAGTGGGGGTGCCCGTTATGAGTCTGCCCACAAGGGCAAGACACACGACTGACACCTCGTCAATCTAGCCTGCCGTCTCCGAGTGGCTGTTTTTTCTCGGGTACGACAGTTTCTAAAAAATAAAATTGAAGGTATCAAATGGAGCCAGAGAGAGTTGACTTTCTTCACAGATCATTTCGCTCATGTCAGGTTACACTGACAGTTTTAACAAACATGACAGAGTGATTTTTTTTTTTTTTTAAATCACAAACTCCAACTTTAAACCATTATTTAAGTGGAGAAAACAATCGTTTAAAAAGCCCAATTTGCTGGATAAGATTTGGAAAAGGTCACTGCTCTTACTGTAGGCAACAGATTCTGCATAAAAACACTACACGTCACTGTCCGATCCCTGCTCACGAAATTCCACTTGGGTGCCTTGTGTGCAAATAAAACGCCAAAGCTCAAAATGCATGACTGGTTTCCTCCAATGAAATCACAGGGGGAAAAAAAATGCGCTTCACCTGAAGAGCGCGGTTGATCGGCTGTGGGGAGCCCGCTCCGGTTTGCCTTGTAAATATTCTGCTTGGTTACTTTTGACAGAGATTGTAAATCAGGTGCAGGAGGTACTATTTTTCGCTCTTTGCAAAACCAAAACACTTCTTGCTTTTCCATTTGGTTTTGCTTAAACGGTCTTGTTTCA